CCCTCAGCTCTTCAGCTCAAGGCAAGCGCTCTACCACTTGAGCTACAGCGCCACTTCCGGTTTTCTGGTGGCTTATTGGAGATAGTCTCACGGTCTCTCCTGCCCGGGCTGGCTTTGAACTGCGATCCTCAGATCTCAGCCTCCTGAGTAGCTAGGATTACAGGCGTGAGCCACCAGCGCCCGGCACCTCTGACAGTTTTCAGAAAGTCCCCACATGCACCAAGATGCCGGGATGCTGCCCGTTAGGCTCACTACCCACATTGTACATGGAGACTCAAGCTGCAGTCTTGGTCAGGTGTCAGTGGGGTGGCTCATGCCTGTCTATCGTCCCAGCTACTCAGGAGGCTGAGGTCTGAGGACCGTGGTTCAAAACCGGCCTGGTAGAAAAGTCCATGAGATTCTTATCGCCCGCCCAGGAGCACCAAAAAGGCAGAAGTAGGGGTGTGGGAGCTCAGGGGCAGTGCCTGGCCCCGAGTTCAAGCCCCAGGCAGACCGGCACGAAACTAGCAGCAAGCGAGCCTGAGGCGGGGAGCAGGCTGGCAGGGCCACCGGGGACGCGTGCGCACGGGCGTGCGGCCGTGACTGGAACCTGACCGCCGGCGGGCTCACCGAGGAGTTACCTGCGGCCAAGACGTGGCCGAATATGACCTCGGACACCTCCTCCGGAGCCACCGCGGCCCTTTTCAGGACTTCCTTGATGACGGTGGCGCCCAGGTCGTGGGCCGGCACGGTGGACAGGGCGCCATTGAAGGAGCCTACAAGGGAAGGGTGGGAGGCCTAGTTATCTGCGGCCGGAGGACGAGCGCCCGCCCGGGGCGGCGCGACACAGGCCGGGTGGATTTGCACCAAGCTCCTCAAAGGCCGCGGTCGCCGAGCCCGCGTCACGCCCACCAGGGACCAGCGGGCCACCTCAGGCGGACTGGGGGTGCTTACCCGAGCCGCCTCTCTTAGACAGCCAATCAGAGGTCTATCGAGAGGGCGCTTCCCTATGCCAGCCAATGAAATAGCCGGGTGGCCCAGTGGATGTATCGCAGCCAGCCAATCAGAGCCCGAGTGGCGGAATGGGCCGGAGGCTTGAGAAGGGGGCGTGGCGCGTGGACCTGGAGGCGCCGGAGCTGTGCTCCCCGAGTCCTAGGTCAGGAGGTCCCGCGGCGGCCCCTCACTCGGCCCCCGGCCCTCCCGGACGTGGGCCCCGGCCGCAGCGCGCTTGCTGAGCGGGCAGGTGGCTAGGGCTAAAGCAGCCGGACAACTCACCAATGACGGTCCGCGCTGCCGCGACGATGACCACGGGGTCGGAGCCTGCATTCATCCTGCCGCGCCCGCCTCCGACTCCAAGTGTGCCTAGCTCAGCCCGCGGGCGAGATAAAACCGGGCACCGCAGGGCACGGCCCCGCCAGGGGGCGGAGCCCACGCTCGCCCCGCCCCGCGGCGGCTCACTTTCAGCCCCACTGTGCAGGCGCAGGGACGGCTGGGCTGGGGGTGGAGTGGGCGGGGCGCCCGCGGGGCCCTGGGGCCTGGGGTTCGGGGCGCTGCGGCCTTGGGACCAGGGCCTCGGGTACGAGTGCGGGGTGGGGAGCCTCTCTAGATGACCGGCTCGGAGGTCTGGGGGTGCAGGCCCACCCGCAAATGACAGATCTCCGGGTGCAGGCCCACCCACAAAGGACACAGATCTCGGGTGCAGGCCGACCGGCGAGCCTTCGGCTGCACAGCCTCCCCACGCCTCGATCTTTATCCGCACGGGTTTCAAAGTTCGGTGTTTTCTTTTAACTTGGAGATTTCCCTATCAGAACTGTTTGCTCAGCCCACTGATCTCGGTAAAGGTTGAACATGGTGTTAGGAGAAAAGTTAAACTCTTAACATTGCCTGTGCCTTCCCGGCATTCCTCGGAGGAGAAGGTAACACGAGGTGTGTAAAAGTGACTCGAATCGAAGACGGTGGTAGCAAATAACACCATAGCAGGTTGGGTAACAGGTAATTCTTTGTAACCAGCTTGGTGACATGCTGGTACTTGAAAGGCCTCGAGTGCCCAGGCATCAGTAGACACCAGGACCCCAAACCACTGATGAGTTGAGGTTTAAACAAACTTTTATTTGAGCGGAAGAACAAAGCGCTGACGCATCAGGGCCGTGCCCAAGGTCGGAGCTCAGGGCTCGGCCTTGAGTGCCAGCCTGTGTCAGCTTTTAAGCATTTTTGACCTGAAGGGGGAAGGGGGAAAGCTTAAGCTTGCTCAGTTGAGTTTTGTCCATTCTGGCCAAGGTTTACTCCAGAGATTATTACAATTTCTGCCAGGGCCCTCTGCCTAGGACTGTTGACGGGAAACTTGGGGAATAGAACCAAAGATGGGAGTGATAGAAGTGGATTTACAACTTAAATTTTATAACCACAAAAATAAAGTTACAAAATCATCCATTATTGATAAGCACAGGCTTTTAATTTTTGCATGGCCTAAGGACCTAAATCAAATATTCTATCTTTAATTTTTATGCCACAACAAAAAGCAAAGGTAGGAAGATGGAGAGTTCAAGGCCAGCCCAGAACTATGGAGCAAATAGGGCTAGAATTGCTTGGGGTGTTAAATGTGTGCCCTTCCTTCATTGAGAGTCTCCTTATCCTTAACTATTCACAAGAAATGGTGATTTCTTCTCCAACATGGTAGTGGATGCCATGCTTGCTATTAAGTACACAGACAGACTCATGAGGCCAGCCACGCTATCCAGTCACTTCTGTTAATATTCTTGAAAGCTCATGGGAGAAGTCAAACAGAAAGCATGCTGGTCAATGGCTATGCACTCAACTGTGTGGTGGGATCCCAGGGTAAGGTCTTGGAATTAAATTACTACAGTATAAAAATGCCTTTGTTGTGGTTTGTGTACAGTAATATCCTCTCTAACATAAGCACAGAAAATAGGAGGTTGCATGTCCTTAGTGCCTTAAGGTTTAATGTAATGAATTACAAGTTAAATTGTATTTGTATGTAATGTTGCATTTTTGCTCTGTTCTATTTTGATCTGAAAGTAGCTGCATTTCATGGACCATAGCATTATTATAGTTACCTTACATTATGTTTATTTACAGGCATGCCCAAGAGGATAGTTAATGCAAAAATTGCTTGCCTTGACTTCAGCCAGCCGAAAACAAAAATGAAACTTGGTGTGCAAGTGGTTATCACAGACCCTGAGAATTGGACCAAATTAGACAGGTATGGTGGGAAATTTTTGGCCTTTGAAAGGAGCTGTTAGTGACTTATTCTTGTGTCACAATGGATTGAGTGTGCTAAAAAGAATGAGTCTTAGGAAGTAGCACTGTGGCTCAAGTGATAGAGTTCTAGCCTTGAGCTAAAGAGCTGAGGGACAGCGCTCAGGCCCAGAGTTCAGGCCCCATGACCGGACCCCCCCCAAAAAAAATGAGTCTTAGAGATAACCAAATAAGTGACTTATTAGTAAAAATATATCATTTTGATTACAGTTGGGAGTTTGAAGTGTGTGTTTTGAAGGATTTTAACATCTTATCCAAGTGAAGCTCAAAGGTTTCAATAGGATTGAAGGTGATACATGAAAATTGATCTGTGTGTGTTTCATGGTATGGTTAAAGATCTAAAATTCAAAGTCTAGCATCCTATTTCATCAAAGAAGCAGTTAAAACCTGACAGTTGAGTGTTAACTTAGTATGATTGACACTAGGCTGCAAGTGATAGGATTCAACCTGTACATTGCAGTAGACAGTTGTGGAGATTTTGTCTGCCTAAGTCCATGTGACCTGCATCATTCAGATAACTTGGGTTACTTTTATTTCAATTGA